AATGCAAAGAATTATAGCACAGAAGGGGTATGAGTACCCCTGAAAGTCACTGCTACACCAAGACAGCTAACTACAACTTAACTATATACAGAAACAACTGCAAAACATAAACTTTCCACCAACCCAAATTAAATGTGTCCCCAACTCATCTTCCCCCTAGAGCTGTCCCCAAAATTTCCATGGCTGCTCCAACACTTCCTGGCATACAGAGCGTGAAAGATGGGAATCTGGAGTGGAGAGATATCTATTGCAGCCAATATACCTTTTGTTTGCAAACTCTACAAAAACTAACACCACGTGTATATATTTTCGGTATCCCTCCTTGGGTCTTGGGAGGGTCCAGGCAAATGAGGGGTGCTGAAATTTAAACTTCATTAACTCAAATTAGCATAAATCAGTCTCTGTTCTTATCTCTTATTTATATGAGAGATATAAAATAAGAGGTTATTTTATATCTTATTTGGTCATGTTGATTGACCAAAGCGTAATGGATGAATGGAGAGAAAAGCTGAATTGAACAGAATTTCCATCTCTGATGTTCTAAACATGTTCAAGTAACAAGTAACGTTTGGTTTGTCAAAGTGCCCTCCCCTCCCTGGAGACCCTGGGGTGCAAACGTTCATCCTTAGACTACTCCCAGAGAGCTACCCACTCCTGTCACAGCCCATTGCTAATGAAGAGAAACATGTAATTTGTATCACGACCCCAAATAAGACAGGATTTCAAAGAAACTGTCAGGTGGGCATGTTCCAATGACCATTTTCCCATGAACAAAATAAACTTGCAAAGAGTTTCATGGATGAGACAAGATCATTTTCCTATAAACAAAATAACTTTGTAAAGTGAGGTGGGCTGATACTTGGAGAATTTAATGAATCAGACAATGTTCATGCTTCTTGAATTGTTGGGGCCAGTCTGTGCTAGTACAATTCACAAAAACTGAAGTAAAAAAGCCCCATAATTTCTCAGAATAACTTGATTCCTATCCACCATTCCCTACCTAAGAATACCAATCCTATACCTTGATACTTAGGGTAGGGTTGATACTCAGAGCACCAAGACAAATCTTCTTACCTAATGGCCGATACCCAAAAGCAAAAGCATGTTCTGCAGACCGTGATCTCCTGAGATTCTCCTGGCAACAAGGACTCAATGGTCCAGTGAGTTTGGGAAAGACTCATGCTGTATTCCTCTTGGGGATTCACAATGCGCCCTACCAAATTAAAGGCTCTAAGAAACCTTGCGGTAAAGAAATCACCTTACCCCAGTATTCTCTACATTTATTTAACCATTTTCCAAGCAATGCCTAATAAAATGCGATGGAATTAGTTTCACAGACCACCCTGTGGGCACATTTTCTTGAGCGACTGTCAGTGTTGTCATGTTTCTAGATCAGAGTTTCTCAAAAGTATATTTTCTACCAATTTTCCCCTTTCTCAATGTGCTCCAGCCACGGTAGGCCTACTTCTGCATCTCCTATCACACCAAAAACATTCCTATCTCAGGAATTCTGTACTTGCTGTTCTCTCTGCCTAAAACTCCATTCTTCTAAATATGCTCATGGCTCCATCTTTCTTCTCATTCAAGACTCTGCTCAAAAGTCTGCTTTTCAGAGAAATCTGTAATGGACTGAATTGATTACCCCACCAAAATTCATATGTTGAAGCCCTAATGCCTTTTAGGGAGGTAATTAAGGTTAAATGTGGTCATGAGGGTGGGACCCTAATCCGATACAATTGGTACCCTTATAAGGAAAGGAAGAGAACCAGGGGTGCCCAAGCACAGAGAAGAGGCCATGTGAGGTAACGAGCAAGAAGAAAACCAGCCATCTATAAGCCGAAGAGAGAGGTCTAAACAGAAACCAGCCCTGCTAAGCACCTCAGTTTTGGACGTCCAGCCTTCAGAACTGTGAGAAAATTAATTTCAGTTCTTTAAGCTACCCAGTCCGTAGTATTGTGTTACAGCAGTTCTATCAGGCTAGTACTCCTTCCCTGACCACTCACCTAAAAGTAACACTTCCTGTTAGTCTCTTCTCTCCTTGTCCCGCTTTTTTTTTTCTTTTTTTTCTGCAGAGCACTTATCATGACTTGACACTATATCTCTAGGGGGTTGAGAGGCAGTAGAATATAATGGATAAGTGTTTGGGGTCTGGGTTCAAATTCCAACTGTGTCACTTTCTAGTGGTGTGATCACTGATGAGTTATGAAAGCTCCGTGGGCTTTAGAGAATTGGTACTTACTTCAAAGGCATTGTTATAAGACCATAATGAGATAGAATATGGGAAGTGTTCACACTACTCCCTGGGGTGTATACTACTACACCCCACTGGAATGTAAGTTCCATAAAGACAGGGACTTTGTCATCCATGATTATGTTCACAGCCCCAAATCAGTAACTCCAGGGCACATGTTAAACCCTCAATAAATATTTGTTACTTGAAATATGAATAAATGAAGGCCTGTGGACCTTTTCTCAAAGTTCACAAAGAATTTAAATTCTTCATTGTCACTTCCATGTCTATCTTTTTACTGAAAGAGTACCTCATAACCTACCACTGCCACACGATTTCAGAGCTCTTATTTTTGGGTTGACTGTAGTACTGGTGCCAAGTGATACTACTTGAATTGACATGGGCTAATGAGCCAAGTTCAGAAGGGCAGTTAACAAGGGTCAGAGAATATAGACTTTCCTACCCAAAAGGCCCACACTGGAGCATTTACAGTGAGCAGTGCACTTCATCAGCAAAACATCACCCATATGATTAAATCAGAGCACTTCATTTAAAATTTGTTCGTTTCTTTTGTATTGGTTTTGCAGCTGTACATAATTTGATCCTCCAGATATCAGTCAACAGCACTTTGGCACCTTCCAGTGACGGACTTCAGAACCTTCACTGCTCTGCGCCATGTCATTGGAATGACTCACCCTTTATGGCTTATTCAGATGAATACAGAATCCAAATCAGAGGCCTGGTGGTTTTGGTATCACCTTCAACAGGTCACAGTTATCTAAAAAAGGCTTTTGTCCAGCTGTCACTAAGAGCATAATAGGTGGTATAGGAGTAGCTCCCTAGGAACTCACATCAACATCTGCAATCACTTGTGCCATAAACTGTCATGTAAATCAACAGTGGGCTCATTCACTACTAAGGAAGTCAACAGGAGAATTTAACCCCAAATGTAACATGTCCCTCTATTTTCACAGATGTACATTTTCCAGTGACAGTAATGATTACACCCACCACATGGTAAAAAGCTAGGTGAAGAATCTGCTGTCATTATGGTAACGTATTGCACACTCTATGGAACCCCACCCCAAATTCTGGTCAATCAAATAGACTGATTACCAGTGTTTCAAACATCTCTATCCTTCTACCTGCTAGGCCTACTTAACCCAAGCAACCAGTGTGAATTTGGAAAAGAGTCTTTATTGATAAAAGTTCTTAAGCTCTAAAGGGTGTTTAACAAATCCTAATATGTAATCTTCTAAAAGTTCCCAGTGATGTGATATATTTAACAAATTAAGGAAACCTTTAATACCAGCAACAAACAATCAGGAATTGAAATTTTAAAAGCAACGCTCTTTACAATAGCATAAAGTATGAAATACGTAGGGGTAGATCAGACAGAAATCTATTTACTGTTTACTGCTTAGGAAGCCAGCTAGGCATCCCAGAGACCCTCCCCATTCTTATTGTTTTATACATTAGGGTGCTGACTTTACAGCTGGGACTAAGACTCTGCATGGCCATGCAGAACCCTTGATGGAAAAATGCAGGAGGCATTGACAGCAGCATGCCCTTGAGAGGGCAGCCACTCACCCAAGTGGCCATGGGGAGCAGGGTGACAACATGAGAAGAGAAATCAGCCCAAGGAGGTGGCTGCCGATCTCCCTCCCCAAATTTTCCAAATCCTCCAGGAGGCCTTTTAATGATAGAAAGGATCTTTTAGTTGGTTTTAGTTTAGTAGACCAGTATCTTCAAAATGTTTTCACTAAAGCAGTGGATGGCAACTCAACTCAGTTTATAAACCAGCATCAACACAGTCTATTGTCCTTTTAATCTTTTCCCAGAAACTTGGTAGTTACCACACCAGCCACATCACTATCATTCAGGGGGCACCTTCTACTGCTAAGGGTGGGCCACAGGACTGTGTGAGCAGGAGACAGCTGAGAGTGCCAGCTACTAAAGCAGCAAGCACAAACTGATGTACTGGGGTAAGAAGGAACAGGGCCCGTATTACCATCCATTCCACCATTATGTCTTATGGCCATTCTCTCTCTCTCTCTCTGCCTCCACTCTCAGAGGGAAGGTACCATGACTTTTTCTTGTACATCCAGCATCTAGTCAAGAGGTTGGGTTGTAGTAGAATTAAATTTTTGTTGAATAACTGAATAAAGCAGTATACCTCTCAGAAAAGCATTCGGAGTAGGACATATTAGGAAGAGTTTTTACATATGGAAAGAAAATTGTTTCTCCTTCCTTGCTATTAGTTGTATAAACTATGTATGAAGGAAAATTCACTTTTTCTCGACACAGGCACATTAACATAGCTACTAATTAATATTTTCTCCGAAATTTAGAAAATGTAGGAAAAATTCTTCCTACGTCTGGGCATATATTGGTAGAATATATACAACAAGGAGGTTTGCTTAAAGTCAGGTACTTTTCATATCAGATAAACTGAATACAAAGAAATTTAGGTCTCCTGGTGTCACTTCCAACCTTGCCAGATAAATACTCATCTCTGGAATGGCCTGGGAGAATCACCTTTCAATTCCTCGACACTTTGTAGCTGAGTTACAGAGTAACCTGCCAGCAATCCTCTCAGAATTCATGGGGCTGTTTAAATAGAGCAAAGTCCACAAAAAGTTCCACTGAGATGTGCTGAGCAAAGGCCAGAGCCCCAGAAGAAAACAAGTGTGGACTCAGCGAAGCTGCCCTCATCTGAGTGCGAACCCCACCGGCCCGGGGTTGAGGGGGGATCGGTGGTCTGTGTGATATGGCAATGAGCCCTGTACTGTCGGAGTTCCTGAGAGAGCTCCCAGGCTGGTTCCTGCTCTCTGGCATCTTCCTGCCCGTGACTTTGCTGCTGTTCCTTCTCATTGCCTACTTCAGGATCAAGCTGATGGAGGGTAAGTGAGAAGCCACACACGGCAGGGATTAGAGTCCTTTCCCATGGCACACATTTGGAACAAGTCCATGTGCCGTCCATTTTTCTGGGAGGCCTGGAGCCACACATGTTTTTGATATGTAGGTGCTTCTCAATAAGCACCCCCCTTAAGATATCTTCTGTGGTGAACGTGGCAAAATTTGATCTTTCCAGCAATGTGGATGACGTACGAGGCTCTGAAGGCCTCCCGTGGGCACCCTTAACTGCAGCCCCTCGCAGACAAGCGAACTGTGAATCAGCAATTTGGACATGTGATTGCTTGTCTGTGTCTCTCAGGCCAATAGATTCACAAACATTACAATGTGTTTCTTGGTCTGCCATCTCAACCTGACAGGTGTGTGTGTGTGCGCGCACGTGCCCGTGTGTTCCTGTGAGTGTGTGTGCACACAATCCTCATCCGCTGAACTTCTACTAAGGAAATGTGCCAACATTGTGCTATCACAGTGTTTGGCAAATGTCAAGCCTTAATAGATATTTGATGGCTTGATGTAAATTTACCATGAAACTGGGGTCTTAAGGTTAAAAAAAAAGGAAAAAAAACCAAAGCCAAACCAAAACAAACCAAAACAAAACCCTCAGGAAGTTTAAAGCGACTGGGACGTGAGAAGCTGGGTCCTGGATTGAGCCTGTTTATTCCGCTGTAATCGAAATGAATGAAACTGCACTGTGATTTGATAGACTATGTGTTAATAATATACCCAGCAAATGTTAGATTAATACGAGAGGTTAACAGCTATTTTAGCAATATCAAAAAACAGTAATATTTCTTAAGTTGGATGATGTCATTAAAGTACTAAAAACAAATTTGAAAACCCCTCCTCAAACCATCCTTTGCTTATATTTCCCTCATCTCCCAATGGGATCTGTGTGTCCTTTTTGCTGATTACATTTTCCAGTGTTAGCAGATAACCTTAGACTAGACATGTTTTCATTTTTATGTGGATGTGATCCCTTTAATTCCAAATTTTCCTTTCTTATTAAAAAACCCCTGAGAACATGTGGGTTTTTAAATTATAGTTCTTTCTGTAGCTGCTTTCCTAAGGGCAAGTAGTAATATCTTCTCTCCAGTTTGAGGGCAAATGAGAACACTTGGCCCCAAATAAGATATCACCAGTTTGAATCTCTATTTAGCAGCTCCCACTTAAAAACTGTAAACAGATGGTCAAATGTCATGTCATTAATCTTGCAACCAGTGTTATGGCAAGTGTAATCATTCCTATTTTGTCCCTGTAAAGAAAGGGACGCTGACAGATAAACTAGTGTGTTCACAGAACCCCCGATCCCTGCGTCCTGGAACATAAAGTCATGTTGCCTACCTCATAATCCTAAGTCCATCAGACAAGAGAGGCATTTTAAGATGTGATGGAAAGCATGTGACGGTATCATAATCATTCATCATTAATCCCCATACTTCAAGGCTTAGGAGGTAATGGTGCATGTAAATTTAATTAGTATGTAGAGAACATCAATCTTCTCGTAAAGGAAGAAAGAAAATTCTCTAACATCCTGCACTCTTCAATCTGTGTCAGTTGCCTTGAGGAGTAGCTCTTAAGGTGGAGGTCTGAGTGTTGAACTTTCCATCACCAAACCCTTCATCAACCACTGCCAGGGACATGTCACCTCTCCTCGGGTGGAAGTTCTGATTATCTTATCTCCCCAAGTCCTGAGATTCCTAAACTGCTACTTTCGGTGCCGCTCAAAATACTATCACACTGATCATGAACAAATTGCTTTTGCTAAAATAACCAACATTGCCAAAAATAGTCACTATGGAAAAGAAATTGTGTCTCTTGAATGGCTGAAAGTTTTTGTATGAAGCTAGATGTAAAATAAAATAAAATAAGGTCAGGTAAGTGATCAGGTTCTGGCCTTCAGCAATTGACTTTCTAAAACAGTTAACTAAAGTATGGAAAATGCACAGCACGGCTAGGCATCTCTCACTGAACTTTATATATATGTTTTGATAGTCAGCAATCCAAAAGGAAACAGATAAGCATTTCTAAAAGTCAAGAGTAAGTTAAGGGTTAGCAGAGTGAAACTGTTAAGATCTCAGATGACAGTCAAACCAAATGGAGGTTTGAATTTCAGGTCTGTAACAATGGCCACACTACCTCATCTCTTGAAGCTTCAGTTTCTTCACTTGTGAGACAGAAATAATAGCAGGACACAGCTGTAGGGTTGGTGTGGAGATTAAGTGAGGCAATACACGTAAGGTTCTTAACAGCGCCTGTTCTGAACAACTGTTGGTCATTATGACCCCTGCTGACTTATAAATTCTAAGAAGGCAGTGTTTGTGTCATTATAATAACTATTATTAAAATATATCTAGTAGCTATTATTAAACTTAAAGATAAAATTATTGATCTTTATTTAGAAATAAAATTAATTATATAAAATTTACTTAAAATTAAGTAAATTACCCAAGGTCACTCACCGAGAAAATGGTAGAGACAGGATTTGAACCCTGGCTGTCTGGCTCCAGAGCTAGCCCTCTCAGCCAAAACACTACCCCTGGAGTACTGAACACAGAGTAGGTGTTCAGTAGGTATCTGCTGAATGGAGGAATCCTCTTGGCCCAGGCAAATAAACATCACCAACATGAGAGCCAACAGTGTGAGAATTAAACAAGGCAAGAATTTTATAAAAGTTTTGAGGGGACTCGATCCATCTCTTTCTGTAACAGGGCTAATTACTGACGATGGTGATTCCTCTGCATAAAGGCTTAGCTCTGAGTCAAGAAGATTACATTTCTTCACCTGTGGCCCAAGAAGGAAAACTTCATTGCCTGCAGAATATTCTACACTTACAAACTCAGGTGTTTTCATGGCCACCTGGCTAATCTCACCTGTCTAGTCTCTGCACTGCCCTTAACAGACCCATCAAAATGAAATGATGGCCAAATTGCAAGCTCTTTCAGGAGGATAAATTATTTCTCTAGCTCTCTTCATTGTGCCTGGCACAGACATTTGGTTCACTTGGTAGATATAACTCATTGAGGAATGATGGGTTTTCTCTTGCTTTCTCTCCTAGTTTTCCATTTTCTAGTTCTCTTCTTTCAACGTCATTATTCAGGTCACCCATTTTCACTCTAGAATTTGTATCCTGGCTCCTCATTCAAAGCACCTGTTGTGCAGTTAGCCTTCAGTAATTAAGAATGAGAGAAGTTACTCATATTTCAATGAGTCTATAATCTAAGTCATGAGCTATCTCAAGCAATACCTTTGAACTAGCAGTAATCTATGTGGAAAGGCAGTGAAACTGAGTGGCTGAGCATGTGGGCTCTGGAGTCAGACCGCCTGGGATTGAATCCTGAATCTATCAGTTTCTAAGATCTTGGGCAAATTGCCTCATTTTGATTTCTCTATGCCTCTGTTTGCTCACCTGTAAAGTAAGAATTATAATGGTGACTACAACATAATTTCATTGCGAGAATTAAATGAGAAAAGGCTTTTCACGGTGTCTGGCACATAAGTGATCAAGAAACATTAGCTGTTAAGTCTTGAGCCTCATGTAACCTAAGACCTGTTACCATCCAATGCATATATACCCTCTCTCAATTGAGATGACAAGCAGTGTGGAATCAGAAAAGGATAGTTCAGAGAGAGTGCTCGGATTTGACGTGGGGACCAAAAGGAACATTTTCAGGTTCAATTCTATAAAATACATTACCTCCTATGAGATTATGAACTCCTTGTCTCCGGCTTGGATAATCTAATTATAATTCTGAAAATAAACTTTTAAGAGTAAAATATAGTTTCAGTTATGCATGTTGGTGGTGGTGAGGAAGAGAATTTTTTTTTTTTTCTTTTTGGATGTACCAGGAAGATCTCAAAGGATAATTGTCAGGATTTCAGGGCTAAAGTTCAAATTTGCTATTGCCAGAGAGGTAACAGGTGAAGCTACAGGAGCAGATAAGAATACACAGAAAGATGATACATAATAAAAGCCAAAGGGAGGAGTATGATTGGGGGTGGGTGTCATGGAAAGGGGGCTCGTGTCAAATGCTACAGAGAAAACTGGGGATTGGAAAATGCCACCAGATTTAGTAATTAGGACATCATTGGTAAGTTTTAATACTTGAGTAGCTTTAACTGAAGCTATATTTTAAGGGGATAAGGAGTATGTAAGCGGCGAAAAGTTGACACTCAGTTTTCAGTCAAAGATGCCAAAAGGTAAAAAGGAGACTAATTTGACCTGTCTAAAGACTTACAAACACCCAAACACATTTTTGGCGGGGAGGAACAGGACAGAAACCCTGTCTTACTCATTTGCATATCCCCGGGTCTTGGGTAATAGACATGTTTAATAAATGCTTATTGAATGTGGGAGCCTTAATACATTTAATCAACACAATCTACTGAATATAAAATATACTTAGCATGTAACACCTTTTATTACAGTTGTAGGTTGCCCTCTCTAACCAGGACCACTCCTTAGAAATCAGCATTTATATTTCTTTTGGGAGTGGTTGAGGAGGAAAGGAGAGATGCTGCAATAGGACTTGCTCTGATGACGATGACTTCTGTAACCTGCTGGGGCCACCAGGGTAGATATGCTGGCCAATAATGCCTGAGGAGTTGTAAATGACCAGTGGCACTCAGCTGCCTCCACAGTATTAACTGGTATTTTTCCTTTCAGTTAATGAAGAACTGTCACCGACTCCTGATCGCCAACACAATCGTAAGGCTAGCTCTTCCTGGTACCAGAGAGAGAAACGGACGTGACTGTTGGGGACTGATCAATGGCTAAAGCACAGTCAATTTCTACTGGTCAGAGAGCGAAGGTCAACGGCTTAGCAAATAGTTAATAAACTAGAACCACAGCAAGACAAAAAGAATACTAAGATGCTTGTTCTGAAAAGTGGTTCAAGAGGACAGCTATGAGACTCGACTTAAATAGCAGTTCTTTGGCGAGTCCCAAGAATGTTAAGATTTTGTTGGATGTGCTCTATGGACTAGGCACATTGTAACTTTTTAACTTTTATAGGACTATGTCTACTCTGAAGGGCACTATTTTCAAACTAAAATTCTTAAGCATCATTATTATATAATCCCATGGAAACCCGCATTATTCTGATTTTGGAGGTGAAGATACTCTGGTAGAAATCAGATAAATAGCAAAAGATGAGCACCTGTGGATT